TTACACCAGCACAGAAAGCCACTAGGATGGTGAGGCAGGACTTGCCCTTGATGAAGCCATGCTGGCTGTCTCGAATCACCTCCCTGGCCTCCATGTGTCTTAGCATATCTTCTAGGAGGATCTGTTCCATGATCTTCCCAGGCACACAGGTGAGGCTGACAGGTCGGTAGTTCCCAGGGTCTTCCTTTCTACCCCTTTTGAAAAGGGGCACAATGCTTCCCTTTTTCCAGTCACTGGGGACTTCCCCTGACTGCCATGACTTTTCAAATATCATGGAGAGTGGGCTTGGCAACTACATCAGCCAGTTCCCTCAGGACTCTGGGATGCATCTCATCGGGTCCGATGGACTTCTGTACATTTAGGTTCCTCAGGAGGTCCCGAACCTGGTCTTCATTTACAGCTTGAGGGATTTTACCCTCCTGGTCTCCTTCATGCCATCCATCAACTCGGGAGGGGTGAGGAGAGAGGTTGCCAGATCTGAGACAGTAAGTCACAGACAACCAGAAGACCATATGTACAAAACACATTCCCACTCTTCTCTTGCCTGAGCAGAGACTCCAACCTAAGAAGATGGTTCCGCTGGCTCTCTGCTTGTACAAGTTCTGATGTCTCACAGGGTGCACCTTCATTAGTACTTTAGCTCAGATAAGGAGAGCACTTCTACCACAAATATTCCATCACCCTAGTTAATGCACTTCCATTTGCTGCGTGAAGCAGTCCTGGGAGTGCACAAATCTGGTTCCTTTCAGATGAAACTAAAAATCACAAGATGTACTCCAGGAGCACTACCACTGCCAAAGCAGCACAGGAGCAGTCAGGAGCCAGTCCAAAGTAACATCCACTTCACTTTGCAAATGCACTACGTGTAGACAGGTATCAGGTCCTCATCACCAATTACTTCATCCTCTGAATCTGCTCTCACTGGACTGCATTACTTGCTCAGGCAGGCCTAGTCGCCGTGCTTCAGGGTCTCCTTTCACCTATGACATGGGACCTGACTGCACCTGAGGTTCACTGAGCTTCTCAGGCTTTGCTTACTCTTGGGTTTTGTGTCTTCTGTTGTCCAAAGTTCTCACCTCCAGCCTGTCATCTCTGTCTGTTTGACCATTCACATATAACAGCTTACTCTTTCTCAGTATCATCTATTCCCACCATACTGAAACAACTTCTCCCAAAGGCTACTGAAAGCCTGAGTATGATCATCCTTAAATAAATGTAATTCTGGCATTGCTTAACTTCGAGAGCTGGCTGATTTTAAAATACTAATACTTTAATTGGTTCATCACTCAAGCACACACAGAAAAACAGAGCACTGAAGCCAATTGTGTAGCATCACATCAACTCTTCAGCGCTCCATAGCAGGGTTAAAAGCTTACACACACACAGCTCTCGGCCCTCTATTATTGACACGGATACAGCACTAAGGATAATAAAGTAAACATTTTCTCAGTGCATTTCACAGCCATTAAGAATTGTAGCACTGTGCCCTAACAGATCCCGTCTTCCCCAGCTCCTCTCTGTCACAGTCTCAACTCAGAGACAGATCCCCAGCTCAACTTTCAGTCCTCCCCTCCCATTCCTACATTCAGTTCACTTAACCTGCCTTTGTAATAGCCTGTCTCATTAGCCGGCTCCTCAAAACCATTCTTCATCCCAGTACTTTCAAGTCATCCTCATGCTCCTTGACTGTGCTGTGAATTGCAGAGACACATTGTGTCCTTTTCCTTGTATCACAAACCTTCCTGACTGCTGAAGGGAACAGTTTTAAAGGGTCCCAGGCTGACCAAGTAATTTGGCGTAATAGAAGCAGGTCAGTCACCTGAAGCAGCTGGTGCCCAGGCCGCTGTGTTTCAGCAGGGGTTTACGAGTTTTATTTCAAGTTAAGTTCAGTCTGGAGCCTCAGATGTGACGGTTGCACCACACAACCGTTCAAGGCTGTCCAAAGGACCGATTGCTGGTTCTGGAGTTCACTCAGTGTCTGCCTGGAGAAGAGATCAGCTTCCTCCAGGAGGAACTTCATTTTTACCTACCAAAACCATCCTGTGAACTGAGCCAATGAGTGTCAAGTGGGGATGATCAGAGAATTCACTCAAACTGTAATCACACCATAGCTTGTGGAAGCAGGGCAGCTTTACCCAATCCCATGACACTTCCTGGTACAGAGAGAGAATATGTAACGGCCAAAATAAGAAGTGTCTATCTACTGAGCGTACTCCAACTTTCAGAATTTACATTAAGGTTGGATACTTTTTCTCGGAAAAATTAAAAAAAAGCACTTAACAACTTTGATTCTTTTGCTCCAGAGCAAGGTCAGGGTAGAAGTTGTAATTACATGAAATGTATAAGCGTTGAATTAAATGCTTACAAATTCTTGACACTGGAAAACACCACTGCACTTTCAGATACAAACAAAAGCAACATTTTAATCCAACAACAACCAGAGTAAGTCAGACACAGAAAACTAAGGACAATATTAGATCTAATAAAAAAAAAAAATCCCACTTGAACCTACACAGTCACCTACAGGAAGAAGCAAAAAAAACAGCCACACGTCCATTCACAGTTAATTAAAATAAGGAAAAAAGCATGTCATCAAATGTCTTTACTTAGAAAAGAAAATCATTACTAACAAAACTGACATCAAAATGTCAACTCAGTAGGCTTTTTTTCAACTCATAGATAGTGAAACAGCATGAGAAGGGAAAACTTAATTTACAATTCAGAATTTCAAATATTCAGTAAGACATTGAGTTTCATTGTACATTGTCCTTTTCTGGTCCCCCGTGATTAACGTATGCATACCCAGTGCTCACAGAGTTGGTATCAGGGTGTAATAAGAATGAGCAATAATACATGTAGGAACCGATGCAATGTAAGAGAAAATTATTTGGATCATTCTAATCATTATCTAATACATTTGAAAGCAGTTTGTTTATATGAAAAAATAAAAAAAAAAGAAATCAAATACCCAAACTGAGTAAACAACAAGAAGATGGGAAGAAAAAATGATCAAAAATTTTAAATAGTTCCTGTCATGTAAAATTTGATTTGTTATAAATATAAATATATATTCCAAAATAGGAAGCAAACCTTCAGCTTCACATAATTTAGCCCATTTTCATCTACAATACCCATAATGCATCTTGAAATACAATTTATGCAGGAATAATAACAGAATAATAAACTTTTTCTCTCATTCTCTTGGCTTCTTTGACATTTAATGTCAATCTGCAATAACAAAGCTAATAATGATCTTTGTCTTCACACACTGCTATTGAAATAAAGCATTTCTTTGTAAATTAAAGGGTAATTTTGTTCCCGCTATTCCAGGCTAAATCTTTCTGGGCTAGAATCACAGAAGCTTATGGCATAAATCACCCTATAATCCAGGACACCTTCTTTCTGCAAGAGCAATGATGTTCTTTTAGAAATAATCATGTGCACAACCACAAAGCAAAGCAGAGCAGCCTGAAGCATGGAAGATTTCATCGGAAGTTCATTACATGATACGAATGCCAGGCATTTCTGGAGGTTTCCCACTCAAAGCTTAACATACAGCTACCTTCTCAAATTTGTAAATCACATGGTGATACATTATAAAGTGACGCCTGAAGAACTCACGGGAATTCCTACATAACAGAAAGTCGTACTTTAGGCTGGTATATAATTAGGAACACATCCTTTCATCACACGGCTTCCAGGTCTGCAAAGTAATTAGGTGTACTCTGAGCTTTATGTAAGTATTCTGTTGATTTCATGGGGACTACTTGCATTTGCAATACAAGCTGAGCCAGAGTGAATGATTTTAGCACCTAGCAAGTTTCACACAAAGTATCCCATCCACAGCAGCTTCCAGGCAACGTTACACTGTGCACCTCTATTACTACCCCTTTCAGCTGCCACAAGAGCCTACTTAGTCTGATACATGGGTGACAGCAGCTGCAGCGGCAAGGTTAAGCGGGAATTACCGAGTTCAACTTCCTCTTCACTGTCAGCTACCCCTATAAACAGGGGCAGTGCTGAGGGTTAAGCATTAACAAGACCAAGGCCTTAATGGCCATTAATTCCATATGGTCAGATTAGCTCGCTGCAGACTAGAAGATAAATCAAGAACGCTCATATGTGTAACGATGTAATGCCACTGCGCACAGCTTACAATACGTCAGAACTTTCCATTAAAAGGTAGAACTTACCCCTCTTCTGAACCCAGCCTTCCTTCACAATGGTAACATCGCTCATGATGGCTCCACTCTGCACCCCCAACTCAAAAGAGTATTTCTTTGAGTTATCAGCTTGTCTGTTTGGCTTCTTTTCTGCAGCTCTTCCCAATTTCTACTGATGAGTCAGCCTGGAAGGAAATATTGGAGGAAGAATTTAAGTCTTTTCTGTTTTTCTCACTTGACAGCCAACAAAAAAGTCTTTGTTGATGTCTTCCACTGACTGAGCTCATATTAAAAATCTGTCTTTTTTTTAATTAACCATATAACAGAATCATGTTTCTAGCCTAATAGCACATTTTCCATGAACACTGCAATACAGAAAATAAGCACAATGTGTTAAATTTTAAGTCATACGGCACTTTTATAAAACGCGCACAATAGAATCCTCTTGTACTAAAGCACAGGATGCTGTTAAAGGAAAGGGTGCTCGTACTGCTTCACACATCCAACTCTGAACCCACAGGAGCTTTAACCATTTCCACCTTTGTCAGAATCCATGCAACAGACAAGTGGTTCCTCTATTATAGCTACATTGATCATATGAAGAGTGCAAGAAAATGGAAGGAATGGTTCTGTAAAGGAGCTTAAAACCAAAGCCTTAAGTACTATGGATACAGTTATCCTCGTAACTGTTAAAATCTTTAGTAACCAGTTTACCAGCCATGCAACTAGGGTTTTTAATGCTTCAATTTAAAAAAAAAAAAAAAGTAAAGGCTGCAGAAATACAACATGCTTCCTACTTCCACTACAACTTCAGCATAGCAAATACAAATCCTTAACTTACACAAATGTTTAAAAAACAGCATCATCTGTAAGCACACAAAGAGAAAAACAACTGCTTAGGAGTACAAATTAACCAAAAAAGCCAATGTGTGGGTTATGGAAAGAAGGAGCACACATTCTCTCAAGGCTTTAAGCCAGGCAGTGACAAGAGTCCTCTTTCCCCTACAAGGCTCAGCATGCAGAGGACAGCAGGGAAGTTAGCCCTGGAACAGGACATGCCACTCTCAGAAGCCACGACCCTCTCTGCTGACCACCTCACTCCCAGAGTACCTAACAGCTGTGAAGAAGCGATAAATAGCACTACAGTCAAGTAGGAAGAGAAGCCAGAGGGCAGGAGGTTTCCTTTTGCCAGCAGACTGCCTTTCCCCTCCATCCTTCAAAACAGAGGCATTCAAATAAAGCTCATCTAGAAGAGGGTGGGAAGCCAAGAAAAGGACTTTCTCTGATGGTGGAGGAACACCCTTCTACAGCTGCACACACAGGCGCACGCATGTACACAGTGCTAGCACAGAACAGGAACCCACACACCAGTTTAATACTCTCAAATGCAGCACATACATATCCATTTAGTAGATCGACCAACAAATGTAAAGATGTGCTAGAAACAAATACAACTGTGCTAGAAGAAATCCATGCAACGAATGACTGGAGAAAGGACTGGGAAATAAGCTGTTTTAATCCAACCAAGTACAAGCTAAAAACTAAACCATTACACAAATGCAGGTTATTTCTTATTTATCATCTGAAAAAAGTGTATTTGCACCACACAGCAGCTAGATGGAAGGCTACTTCTGTATGGATGCTGTGTAAAATAAAACTCAGTATGAGTATTTTTTTCAAGCGGTATGCAACAAAAAATGCAGTACAACCTGATTTTACAGAAACACTGAAGTGTGTCCACTTTACAGTTATGCTTTCACGGAACTATTTTTTCAAAAACACACAGTATTTCAGCTGCATAAAAGTAAAAACCACAATGCCACATTTGCTAGTACTGCAAAGTTGAAGTGCTGTTGAACACAGTGCCTGCAAGACATCTCCACGGCCATGGCACCTCCGACAGCGAGACCTACGCAGGTGCTGCACAGCCTCTGGCATTGGCATCACGCCCTGTTGCATCTAGAAAGTCACCGGACACCTGCGCTTATGCAACTGCACCCTGCCGTAAGATTTAAATATTATTTAAGCTTTCATAAGAGTTAAAAGAAAACATTATGTACAGGGTTTTGGAAGGACATGAGACTGCTTCGTTACGTTTAATTGATCTCACTAGCTTTAGCTGTTTAGATTTTGTATTCTGTCGGTCAGTATGGCAGAAACAACCAGAACACGCATTTCCACATCTTTCACCTTACTAGCGTGAGAGTTATTTTCTGGGTCATAATTATCAGAACTTTTGTTTGCACTCTTCAAACCAGAGATAAGCAAGTCTACCAGCTGTGCATGAAAAGAGATCCTGGCAGATGAAGACACGCGCCCGAGAGCAGGCTACAGCTTTGCCGTTCTGGATCACCGCAGCGCAGTATCAGCTCCTGCTACAACCACACACATCTGTACAAAGCCAGAGGTGAGTGTCGAACAACTGTGACCTAAAAGCAGCTGTTCTGTGAAGGAAGTGTAGGCACATTAGTATCCAAATATCCGACTGAAGTTTGATTTTCCTACAAGACTTTGATTGCGTTCTTTAAGAAGTGATCACAGGTAACTTTTTTCTCCAGCTACAAAGAATAAGCAATGTAACACACCGTACGTAGCTTGGGCTGGCATATGCTGCACTGTGTTTTACCCTTTAGGCAAATGTAATGTACTTTCCAATCTCGGTCTATGCTTATGAAAAGTGCAATAATTTATTTTCATTGGTAGACGCTAAGCTATAAGAAAGGAACTTCCATACTAAGTAGCAATAATCTTGTCTGCCCACATACTGATCATTAAGTCCATGATTTCAGCAGACACACAGTTTTAATGAATGAATTTATGCTTGAAACTCTCTATTTACCCACTGATTGTGATTAAGCTAGTATTACTCAATCAAAATCTGATCTATGACTGATTTTCATGTCAGCCAGTGTCCCAACAACCTCAAGTGTATGTCTGTAGGACTGCACCCCACCCATCTCCTGTACTACATTACCAAATTTCGCACAAAACCCCCAAAATACAAAAAAGATAAACACGTTGACAAAACTAACTGAATTATCTCCAGTTTAGCTTCACAATATTACCAGGAGCAACTTAAGCAGAATTATCAACACTTCTATGGTTATAGGGATTGTTCCCTTAATGGGTAATTAAAAGTCAAGCTGAATTACAGAGGAAGCTGAAGGAGATAAATCGAAGCATTAAAAGACTAATGAAAATAAAGGTTATACATTCACACTATACTTTCAAGAAGCCATTTGTAAGCATCTGTAGTACTATCCCTTATTAAATTCCTTTGAGGCTTTCTAAAAGCTGTACTCCTTTACTCTGAAAGTCACTCGGCAAAGCCATAAAGGAGAAGACTTTTGAGAATTACTTCTCAAGACAAAAACTGACCTTAATGAAAAATAGTCACACAGAAACCTTCTTCACTGAAGATGTAATAAAGGATTTCTACAGAGGTAAAGGAGTTGCCTGAAACACGTGGAGCAGGGACTCTCACAGGAAAATAGCATCTCATCGATAGTTCAACTCTCTCAAGAAAAGCTACAGAAACGTTGCACAGCTGGCACAGAACTTAAATACTTCTTAGCAATCAATTCTGCCCTCCCAATGCGCTTCAGGTTTCAGCAGCTGGTATACAGTAATTTTTACAGTTTCCCTTATTGCTATAGGATGCACCTACAGAAATAAGGAAAATACGTACATGCAACAACTGAGGTTGAAGATATTTTGCATTCCAGCTGCTTCCTAGAGGGAAAAACTTGACTCATTTTTATATACGTTCCAGCAACTGGAGAACAGGTTGGATTGCTTTTTTTTCCCCCCACGTTATAAACAGAACTTGGAAGATACTTTTCCGACAGTATATTGTGTGTATTCTGCAGACAGTATCAGATAGTCGTGTATATGCATAATACATACAGGAACCCACTGTCTGCATGCTTTATGCTGCAGATGTAAAAATTTATTTCATCGCCATCAGTCGTGATGAAAACACCTGTATTTTCTGGATCTGGTAGAAAATAGTAAAACTTCTCCTTTCTTCTTTGGAAAGCTATTAAGCCACTTCTGTAGTGTTAGATGAAAAATTCAGCACACGCTTCTGAAGAGCTAGCATTACACCTCTAAGTTCCTAGCTGCAGAGGTTGCAAGGCATCTTTCTAAACAAAGATTAAGGAGAAACTATTACATGCACCAGAGTTCCAGAGCCCTCTGCCAAGGCTCACAGTTTTCCCAAGCTGTGGTGAAAACTAGCCAACACCTTCTCAGTTTTCATCTTGAGCTTCAAGAATAACAGCAATATAGAGAAAAACCAGCTCATTTCACAATACTACTATACGGGAACTACAAGACCAACCAGTAAAATGAGCAATGGATCGTTCATTAGGACGACACCTTTTCCTCAACTTGTGTTTTTAAATTAAAGGAGGCTCTCATGCCCATCGTGGCAGTCAGGTACCTCCACAGACCCAGTGGATGGGGAGAAAGAAAGAAATCCCTTCCAAGCAGCAGGACTAAAAACAGTGGTTCAGGTCTACACTGCACAACCATTATGTGTAAGTGAATAATCATGGAGATTCATAAGAACAGACAACACTCCCTTGGAATCTGGGCATCCTCCCATTTCCCCCGTGACAAGAGACAGCTGAATAAAGAAGACAGTGCCCATAAATTCAGTGTAAATTGTATGATTCAGGTCTCTGTTGTAAGAACTTTCATAAACACAGGCTCCTACTTTCAACAATTTTGGATCTGAGAAAAAACAGATACTCTCACATTTACCAACTCCAGTTACCAGACAGAATACCAACAGAATCAGTTTTAGCGCTTCCAGAGACGATCTCTGTAACTTCTTGTAGCATTATCAGCTTAGTGATTCATCCAACCTCATTCTCTTAATATATAAGGGAACTACCATGTTCCCTTTTTACAAGTAATCATTTGTTTAATAAAATGTTTGGGGAAAAAAATAGCAAGTGAATCTTTCTGATTCACTTCACCTGACTCACTGAGATTCTCTGGTCCTCAACGTAAGCAGAGACAAATCTCATCATCTCTATCTCCTATACTATATATATACACATATAATATACTGTATATATGTTACTACTTCTCAGAAAGGTGACAGAAAAATTTTGTGCATGCACACACGAAGCACACGCTACACTACGAGAAAAAGTTGCTCTTGGTCATTCTCTCATGG